GCGACGCTCCGAGATGCGTCTGAAATGTTGAGCCTCAAAACTGCCACATTTTGTCGGAATTCAGTTGTTATCGATTTTCTCGAAAATAAATCGATATTCAGCCAAACGAAGTACGCAGTGGTTTGTTTCACTTCTAGGCCTACTTCACTTTGAAATATGGGCGAAATTGATAAAATTCGCTCTTAAACTCCTAAAATCTAAAAATCTTGATCTTACATCAAATTCTCGTCACTAATTTGCAGAGAAAGATGCACAGCAGTTAGATGGGAGAATTAACAATCAAATCTTGGGAATTGAACGGTCAACTTACTGAAGAAGAGCACCTGGTAAATGAATTGCGCCGGGTAAGTTGAGCCTTGCACAAAACTGGGCAGGTATAAACTTTCTTGCTATAGCGATTAATCATTAAAGCTCGTTAGATATCACAAAATTTGCCGGAACTTATTGCTGGTTAATGACATCTCAGTATCCAGATAATTTTGATCTAAAATCACGAGAACCAATAATGTCATTTGTTACGTGAGTAATTGCCAGTAATTTGCTACGTGAGTAATTGCCAGAAGGGGTCTTAAGAGAGACTTGAAAGAGGACGGTAGAAAGGAAATAACAATGTTTTACGACAGCCAGTAGAATTGCTATGGTAAAAAGGATGCTTACCCATATGCCATCCTTCAATTGTGACGTGAAGTGACCAAGTCTGGCCTGGTGTCGAATGACCAATGCTGTGGTCATTTTTGATATTTAAATTTTTTTTTCCGTATTCACATGGGGAATGTTTTGCAATACATACAAAAAACAAGTGTGAAAATCTAAAGTAAAAGCTATTGAGATAAATGTGTGCGTGTGCGTTGTCGGGGTTGTCGTTGCTATTGTTAAGGGTCCTTATTGGCCAGTAGTGAGAATTGTTTTCTTTTTTATATGATTGCACTGGTAATTTATCATACTTGATAACTGAGATAAATGTCACCTGAATTATGGAATTAAATCATAACTTTGATGAAAGAAATTACCCAGTATATTCAGAGAATTTGTCATTTTTTTATACAAGCACTTAAAAGTGTTATACCGTTTGGAGAGAATATTTGTCGTGGGAATTTTGTCTTCGAAAACGTGGAGCACTATCATAATCCTTCGTGTGGCTATTCCCATGCAAGCCTCGTCGATTTTGCAAAAACCAGCATATTTGCGGTGAGGGAAATCTAAATATTGTTGCCAAAGTTCTGGTGCGTTACAGTAACTGGCAAGGTAGACACGAGAAGTGATCGGCGAGAAGGCTGCGGACCTCACATCACACCACGTACAATCAGTTTGTCTCAGATCAAGAGTCACAGATCATGTGACTAAGTTGTTGGGAATTTTTCTACGTTTTTGTTTATGCAGAAATGTCACCTTCCTCAAACGAAAAGTTACAATGCGGTTTACTATATTTTGAGACAAACAGCGCTCTTAATGAATACGGTCGTCTATTGAATTTGCTGTGCCCTAAAAACAAAGCAAAAAAGCAACCAAAAAAAAAACAAAAAAAAAAACAAAAAAAAAGCAAACGAAATGCGAACATCTTTATGCACTCACAAATAATAATCACCATCAAACTGTTTTGAACTTTTCTGTTCTTAAAGGCAATTGTTGACGATAAAAATCTTGATTTGCGCATGTTGTCAACTATCTAGCCCGTCCAAGACTTATGCAGCATCTCGACTGAGTTAATATATACCACGAAATTCAAAAGCCGTCAGTTCCTAATTCCATGGTTGACACTAGAACAGTTTGAATATTTATGTTTTATTTGTCAAATATCTGGCAAAACATCTCGTTTCCGAGCGACTAAAAAATTCCTCCTTGCATCTTTAAAATTCTGTGATACCCATTGCAAAACTTCTAGTTTTCTGCATGTCTGAAACAGTGTGTTTGGGGCCAAGTATTGATTTTTTTCAAAATTTATTCTACTTGTTTTCAAAGGAGTCCTTATGGAGGCAAGGCCATCGACATGCTCGAAAGTTCAATATTGTCTTCCTGTAATTTGACTTCAAGCACCTGTCTACATTTGTAAACAACGGAGAAGCGATTTTGTCAGAAAAGCAAGCCATATGTAATTCTCAAAAAGAAAAAAAAACTTAAAAAAAGAAAAGAAAGGAAAAAATAGACGAAGCGTTTTCTGGCGTTTTTAAAATGTCAAGTGTCGAGTAGAATTTACCGATACCCAATTGACAGTTTGTCGAGATATCAAAACTTGTTAAGTCATTTGAATTTTCCATAGGCATGCTTAGTAATACTTGCGTAAAACCTTTTTGTTTAATATGATTGAAACAAACCAAATAGCATCATGAACATAATATCGCATATTGATACCGATAAATCATGCCATTAGACAGCTGTTATAAGTATTAGAAACAGAACAGCAGGCGGTCTAACTACTGCCGAGTTCAATTAACTCCTAAACAGGAACACACACCATTATTAATATGATCCATTTATCGAGATCCTCTTCAAAAGAGGCAAAACTCTTCGCGGCAGCTCAAGAGTAATAGCAAAATTCCAGCATTGCTTTTATTTCGACAGCTGCGCATGGTAACCAGTAATCAGGACCGATGATATTATAAAAGGTTTGTTGCATTTTGCTGTCTCATTCAAAGTTTAAATGGTCATACTTTACTGGCGTACTTACGAATAACCCTGAAAAACATGCTGAGATGATGCACGAAAGAGAATCTAAGATCGGGGGCTCTTTCGCAAGAGCCCCGATTTCAAACATTTTAAAGAAATGTTTCTCGAGAGTCCATGAAATAAACTAGGAAAATTCAAAACATGTTTTGCCTTCTCATTTGGAAGTTCTCGATTTCCGCTCCTGCTATAAACAATTATCTAAGACCTTAGTAGAAAGCGCAGACACAAATTTCTTCATCGCTCAAAATATCCTCAAGGGATCTGCATTTGGAGCCTTTTGATTATTGATTATTTCCAGACTAAGCTTGTAGTTTTACGCTGCGCGTTATTTCACAGCATAATTGTACATATAGACGAGTGTTATGCTTTAAAAGAAAAGAAAAATATCGGAAACACACCCAAAATTGATCGACATTTAATAAATCACAGAGATGCTTTTATTGCAGTTTTGGTCGGAATGACAAATATGGATCCAGCACTCCATGTAAACAACGTACTAGTTGCTACCGTCCTGTGTGTGATTTTTGTCAAAATAGTCACCCAGCAGTGTGAGAACGACTTTTCTTCACTGAGCATGATGATACAGAGGCACACATACAAGACGTTCAAGACGTCAAACGCTCTTGAGTGCGACCAGGCCTGCAACGACCATTTCAGATGTCAAAGCTTTAATTATGTCTTTTTGGAGGACATATGCGAGTTGAATGACCGAACTAAAGAAGCCAGACCTGAAGATTTCATTTCTGACCCTTACCGATATTATACCAGAGGAAAGAAGAAATTAGGTTAGTCTTATAACATGATTCATAAGTAAACAAATGTTATAACAACTTAAAGAAACAAAACAGACAAGAGAAACATTGTACAAACCTTATGCATCGTCATCATTCACGTGATTATTGGTTTTTCAGAATTAATGCTTCATGCTTCAAAACCAAAAATTAATTTGATATATTCGTAGTTCCCCTCGGCTCAATCCCTGAGCTGCCAGCTGAAACTTGTACAGAAATCAAAGCAAGTGAGAGAGAACATTCCACCAACGGAAAATATTGGTTCGATTCCATAATACCTGGAGAAGTTGTTCAAGCCCAGTGTAACATGGAAAAGGAAGGTAATTTATACTTCACACACTTCAATACCATTTCCGGTTGTCATTTACAAACTATTGGATGATTTTGGGTATGATGACAATTAGGAAATATTTTATTAAAATGTTCCAAGTAAAATAATAGATTACATGATCTTTATCTATGTCCAAGCAAAGATAATGACCCAGAAGTTGTCTCCTGCTCCCGTTTGAGTTGTTCAAATATAGTCTCTGCGACGTCTGCACAGAGCCTTATTCCGGGTAAAGTGATGTAACGGCGAACAACGTGAATAATAGTTTAAAAATAGCTGACTTCGTCAGAAAAATTTAACTTTATTTCTTATCGTCGATTCTTAGTGTGGAAGTCTAGGAGAAAAGAAATCAGTTTTGATAGCGTTCAATATTCTCTGTACTAAACTCAAGGCAATACGTATGTCAATGTTTATTGAAGTTATTTTCATCTATTTTTTTTGGTTGATTTATTTTGTAGACATCGACGAGTGCAGCGCGTCCAAACCTGTTTGTGCTGTCAATGCAACTGGATGTCTGAACACTGTTGGTTCTTTTAGTTGCTCTTGTGAAGCTGGGTTCGTCGGGAGACATTGCACTGGTTAGTACGAAGGGAACGCATGGGTATCGTATGTTAACGTTTAGTGACATATCATTAAATGCGATGATGGTGGCCCTTAAAAAGTATACTCCATAACATGTTGGCTAGAGATAGTGCATTTGTTTTCATTTTCTTAAGATTTCGACGAGTGTAAGGGTCAAGTCAAACCCTGCGATGTGAACGCTGATTGTCAGAATACACGCGGATCATATGTTTGCTCGTGCAAGGCTGGCTTTAATGGGAATGGAAAAGTTTGCACTGGTAAGACCTCTCTATTTTGTTTATTGTTGCAATCCTTAAGGGTTTTCCAATATTTCTCTCCCGACTTTTTTTATTTCATTTATTTCCCCCTTTCCCAGTTTTTACTTTTTTATCACTCAGCTTCTGAGAAATATGTGAAAGGTTCTTTTGGGTCATTTTCATATATTTACCGGTTTATGGAATCATGCTTGCTTTCACGATAGTTTTTTTTATTCTTTTTGTTGTTATTTTTGCTTTATTGCAGACATAAACGAGTGCGGTGCTCTTAGTCTAGTCTGTGACGCAAATGCCAAGTGTGAAAACATTATTGGATCATATCTGTGCTCATGCAAATCTGGGTTCTTTGGAAATGGAAAAACCTGCACTGGTGAGAAGAAGAGACCATCAGGGAACTGTTTCTCTTGAACATTGGAAAAAAGTCATATTTTCGCCCCTCTCTACAGTATAAATACGTGAAATTATTTTGAAATAGAGATAAGGTGTAGTCCATTGCTTTTCCCACATCGGACGTATACCACATCAACAGCAGTTTTTGACATAATAGAGCACACTTTTATCATCAGCCACATTAGAGAATTACCTCATAAAGGAATGAAATTATCGTTTTGCATTCTTTTGTCAATGGCTGCTTGCTATTTTTCTACCTTTAGATTACAACGAATGCGATGCTTCAGTTGCCGTTTGTGATCCTTTTGCATCTTGTCAAAATACTGCTGGGTCTTTTGACTGTATATGTCAAAGCGGATACACTGGGGATGGCAGAACCTGCACCGGTAAGAGACGGTTTGATTATGAAGGGATTTTACACACTGATAACACCCAATAAACTGGGACATTATCTTGTGCATTCCAAACTTGATTCTTCACGTTGCTCTGAAAAATAAGGCCGAGGGAACTGTGTCTGTTGTGAATGAGGTGATCCCAAGCCAGGATAGATCTACACGAAGTGCCTGCTACAATTAATTTCACGATTTTTACGGCAGCGGTATCGCTTAAAATGCGCTGCATTCGCGTAATTCTGTTTTTCATTTTGTACCAATTACCCTTTGTCTCACCGAAGCAAACACTTGTGTTCAACAGATGTGGACGAATGTCATTCTGGCTCTCATTCCTGTCATGGAAAAGGCCAATGTGTCAATGTACTGGGCTCTTATGATTGAAGATGTCTGCCAGGCTACGCGGGAGACGGTACCCATGCCTGCTCAGGTAATTTACAATTTTCCTTACCTAACAGAAAGTGGAAATGAAAGCAGACTTTTTTGCATATGAATTTTTCTGTTTTCTTCAGTTTTCCTGTCATTGTTGTTTGTTGTTTATCTTTGCTTGCTGCAAGTCATCCATTATAATTTATAACGTCCTAATCTATGACAAGTACGGAGGAGGAAATGAGATGCGAAAAAAGACGATCTTAGTTTGGAAGATAGTCAAGTTTAAGAAATTTCGTGGAAGACGAATAGTAAGAGACTCGTATGATGCACGATCCTCGCAGTAGAGAGCGCTATTTATGCAATAGCGAAAATCAGACCTGAAAAAAATCAGGCCTGTACGGGATTCGAACCACTGACTTCTGCGATACTAGTACAGCGCTCTACCAATTGAGCTAACAAGCCAACTGGGAGCAGGCCGTTAAGTTGATTCGTAATAAACCCGTGATGATAAATCAGATACAATGTATATATGAAGTTCATATATTTTGAACTGCGGTATTAGATACGTATGATGCACGATCCTCGCAGTAGAGAGCGCTATTTATGCAATAGCGAAAATCAGACCTGAAAAAAATCAGGCCTGTACGGGATTCGAACCACTGACCTCTGCGATACTAGTGCAGCGCTCTACCAATTGAGCTAACAAGCCAACTGGGAGCAGGCCGTTAAGTTGATTCGTAATAAACCCGTGATGATAAATCAGATACAATGTATATATGAAGTTCATATATTTTGAACTGCGGTATTAGATACGTATGATGCACGATCCTCGCAGTAGAGAGCGCTATTTATGAAATAGCGAAAATAAAACCTGAAAAAATTGGTAGAGCGCTGCACTAGTATCGCAGAGGTCACTGGTTCGAATCCCGTACAGGCCTGATTTTTTTCAGGTCTGATTCTCGCTATTGCATAAATAGCGCTCTCTACTGCGAGGATCGTGCATCATACGTATCTAATACCGCAGTTCAAAATATATGAACTTCATATATACATTGTATCTGATTTATCATCACGGGTTTATTACGAATCAACTTAACGGCCTGCTCCCAGTTGGCTTGTTAGCTCAATTGGTAGAGCGCTGCACTAGTATCGCAGAGGTCAGTGGTTCGAATCCCGTACAGGCCTGATTTTTTTCAGGTCTGATTTTCGCTATTGCATAAATAGCGCTCTCTACTGCGAGGATCGTGCATCATACGTATCTAATACCGCAGTTCAAAATATATGAACTTCATATATACATTGTATCTGATTTATCATCACGGGTTTATTACGAATCAACTTAACGGCCTGCTCCCAGTTGGCTTGTTAGCTCAATTGGTAGAGCGCTGCACTAGTATCGCAGAGGTCAGTGGTTCGAATCCCGTACAGGCCTGATTTTTTTCAGGTCTGATTTTCGCTATTGCATAAATAGCGCTCTCTACTGCGAGGATCGTGCATCATACGTATCTAATACCGCAGTTCAAAATATATGAACTTCATATATACATTNCGCTTGTAACAAGTATGGAGGTGTATGCAGTCCTCGTTAAGAAATGTACTGTTAGCTCGCTATCTCTCCTATAAGCTTCCTTAAAAGACATGTCTCCTTCCTTCACCAGATTTGGACGAGTGTCAAAATGGTTCATTTCCCTGTCATGCGCAAAGCCAATGTATTAACTCTCAAGGTTCCTATAATTGCACCTGTTTACCCGGGTACACTGGGGACGGCAAGGCAACGTGCTTAGGTTTGTGGATCGTCCTAAAAAGTGCTTTGCTTTCTCTCTATGTTGCATTATTGTTGATTAAAAAAATATATATATCTTTCGTTGTTTGTTGCGTTTTCTCGCTGCATCCTTGAGTTACGATTTTGACAAGCCAACATCAGGAAAACATCAATCGCTCATTTTATAACGATATTGTAAAATTTTTAGATTTCTTTTGATCAAAGGCAAATGCCGGGGTTAAGATAAATAGAGAGGGGGAAATAAGTTTGGAATATAGACCATCAAAAATATGATAGGAAAGCTTTGAGAGTAACGGAAACCAATAGTAATGAGACTAATGGCGAAAGGTACTTGTGGATACAACTTCCGTCTAAAATATAAGTGAAGTATAACATCTACTAACTCGCCATCATCATGATTTAAAGGGGCGTGGGCAGAGTTGATATGCCAAGCTTCCAAACAAAGGCGCTGGTGGTATCGACGATTAGTGGTGAAAATTTTAGAATTATCCCACCCCTTTGTATGGCTTTTGGAAGCTTGGCATATCAACTCTGCCCACGCTTCTTTAAATCGTGATGATGACGGCTTACTACCTGACACTTATTTACACCACGTCAGAAAAAAAGGCAGCTAATTAGTGAGCATATAAATAAGGGCCTCCTGCTGCAAGGATCAGATCACCCCTGATGAGAGCACTATACAGGAGTGTCGAGAAGTTGGGTCGATGAACTGTAATTTCGGTTGCATTCATTAAATCTTTAGACAAGTGTAGCATCAAACCATGTCTGAACGTCCACCTGGTTGCTGTGTGAACTTAAATATAACTGAAGTATAACATGTTCATTAACAGATGTGGACGAGTGTCAGACGGGTTTGCATTCTTGCCATGCGCAAGCACAATGCGTGAATGTGAATGGCTCTTATAACTGTACGTGTTTACCTGGATACGAGGGAGATGGTCAGCAGGTTTGCTCAGGTACCAATCCACACGAGAACGATATGAAAAATGATAACGATGACAATAATAACTCACGACATAACGATGTCTACCTAGAATAAATTATCAATTCACCTCTCTCTGTTATGACTAGTATGATAGTAATTGGAAACTATACCGAAGACAATTCTTTTCAAAGTTTTTACTCGTGTTCATGGCCAATCTTAGGCATTGGCGGTGACAATTTATTTTCAAGGTTTTACCACATAAATATGAAACAGGTGTTATAATTCAAAATGTTCGAAATTCCCGTAAATCAAAGCATATCATGCTAGACTGTCTTAATCTGCATTGATAAATTTATTGCCACTAGAACATTTATGAGTTACGACAATTCTTAACATGTGTAACTTTGATTTCATCAAATGTTTGAAATCAACTTTCGTCAGTCTCTCAATCCCAAATTGGTGTCGTCTTTTAATGCTTATGAAACTGTAGCTAGTTTTAATCAATAAGAGATAGATTAGCTTTAAAGACGTTTTCTACTTTCTTTACCAGATGTGGACGAGTGTCAAGATGGTTTATTTTCTTGTCATGCCCAAGGACAGTGTGTGAAATCGCAAGGTTCCTATAGTTGATCGTGTTTACCGGGGTACACTGGCGACGGTAATACACAGTGTTTAGGTTTGTGAAACGTCCCAGAAAGTAGTTTGTTTTCTTTCTATATTGCGTTATTGTTAATAAAAAAAGATATCTCATGTAAAATTTCACAATATCAGGGTAACTTGGTAGAGTGAGGGTGACCATGAACGACATTGAATCTCCAAGTGTTATTTAAGTGACTGTGAGGAGGGTCTATTATACGGGGTCGTACATTTCGTAAACCGCCATATTTTGTTCCTTCGAAACCGCAAACCGCTTTAGTTTTTTTTTTTAAAAACCGACACCGCCCTACAGGTAGGACGATTATCCTCATAACCGATCTTTAACAGCACGTAGCAAATTCTTTGCGATATGTTAGCTCAATTATCGTATTTCTCCTCACAAAGACCACAAGATATTAAGAACAGAACAAATTGTTTCTATAGAACTCCATTCAGTAGCCAGCGAACAAAAAGGTTTTGACGTCTAATGGGCTGTTCACAAACACAAAGATTGCTCGA